GGGGGGGGGGGGGGGGAAGGGTAGATGAATTTTGATGAACATAACAAAAAAGTAACAAAACATTGCAAACTGAAGAAATTTACCACTGATTTTGGGAGGATGCCCACAACAAATCAATTAATTTGAGTCCACCAATTTGGTAAAAAGACTGAAGGGGAAAAAAAGAAAAATCTGGTGATTGGAAAATAAAAAACGACTGATTTCAAAAGACAGACACACTGAGTTCATTAATCAATATTTGCTAGAATAAAATTTATTCACTGAATTGGAAATTTCTTCTTGGTGTGAAACAACCTAGCTTTTTATTCAATGATTAAGGCATCAGCACAGGTCTATTATCAACAAGGTGATCGAAAAGGAAACTTGGAAAAACTTACATGCTACTTACAAACGAAAACAAATTTTCGTTGAGATGAACAAATAGACGGCACGAAAATAAAGCTAAAAGCAGGACGACTTGAGAGTACTGGAGAACAAATGACTGGGGGTTTAAGTAATTTTCCACAGTTTTTCAAAAAATATAAAATCTTCTACTGTGTAATTTCTACATTTATACAGTTTAAAGGTTCAGGTTTCACAGCAGAGTAACTCAAATTCACAGGGTTCGGCATTGTTGGGAGGAGTCTATGCAGAACTAAGTACTTAGAATATTTAATTTTGGCACAATACTCGTTTATGAGGTCCAGAATAACGATGATTAGGTTCATGTCAGCTGCAGGCGTCAAAATACTGAAGGGATAAAACGGCTTGTTTGGCTTACTAAATGGAGGATTAAAGAATGAACATTGGTTTTCCTCAATTTAAAGAGATGAAAACACGATCTAACTAACGATGTGTTTGCGAGTTTTACAAACAATTTCTTGAGGTTTAACAATGCCATCCCAATAATTTATTCTCTTGTCTAACCAACGAAAATGGGCCTCTGATAAAACAGCTGCGAACCTCACAAAATAAATTATTGGAGAAATGGAAAAACTTTTGTGACACACTTAAGTCAGCAAACATCGTAACTCCACAATCTATCTTACATAATTTTCTACCAATACTTCACAGTTAAAAGGAGCCTGCCATTGATATTAGAAGGTGAATTAAATTAAAATCTAAAACAACGTTTTTCTTGAAAATAGTACAATTTGTAGAGAAAAAGCATGGACTAAGAGAGATTCTGTCAAAATATTCATTGGCAAGAAGAAGTGGTGACTGACAAAACTAGGTGAAAGGAAAAATTTCAAAGATCTATCTTCCTTTTCTTTGCAAGGGAGTTTTTATCACTTTCACCAGCCTTAACTTTCACTATTTTCACATTCAAGTAATTGTAGCATTATCTAAGGCCGTAATAGGTGAGAAAGAGCAAACTTTCTTTTTTTCTCAGGAGGTCCAAGATCCACCTTCGTTGAAAAAATTTGAGAAACACTGCTTAAGAGTGATATGATAGAGTATTATGTAGATATTGCACAACAGCTTACCGATAATGCCACTCTAAAATTCATGGCACAAAAAAAAAGGATTCCAAAATCAAGGTGTCATCAAGAATGGGGAAAAAACCTTTCTCAAAATTTCTTATACTTCCATCAGAAAGTCGACAATACTTGCGTAAGTATAAAACAGAAACCCAAAAAATTTTGCCATCAGAAAGAATTTTGAAAATATTCCATAAAATTTCTTGCCAATGGGCTCCCGTTTCATGAGGACACGCTGAAAATACCAGTGAGCTGCACTTAGTCTAAAAAGTGGAGTTACCAAGTTGCTACTTAGGACTGAGATTTGTTTAGTGAACTGTCTCAAATCACGTTTCACAGGGAACATTACCTCAAGTGGCTCGATTTCTTTTGGGATGCATATTTACAGCAAGCACCACTCATAGGTACTAAGCTACTATCACTCGGAGTTGAGAAATACTTGAGAGTATATAACCATCGAATACCTCAGTAAAAAACACAATAATTAAGATTACAAAACAGTAAAATGGTTGAAAGGGATTTCATACAGGCGATAATGAATTATTAATTGGTGGCATAGAAGGAAATGAGGGTGGTTGGACGACCATATGTTGAGCTACAAGGTGGTGACCAAGTTTAGGACCGACACTGTCCTCAGCTTTTTCTTCTTCCCGCCTTTTCAGACAAGCTGCCTTGGGATTAAGATTTCGTTCTGAAAATCAAAGAAAACAAACTGATCAGTCAATAGTGACAACAAAACATTAGCTAGATATCACATGCTAAAAATTCAAACCCTCCGACTATGCAAATCTATTCCTTCAAATCTGAGGTAGATTTTAAATTAAAATTATGGAAATTAGAATGGTTTCATGGCTCTTGGGAAATATTCTTGTAATAGTGAATGATGCTCAAAAAAAAGGAGACAGGGGAGGGGAAAGAAGAACTTTTGTTATCGTCATGTACCGCACGTAGAGTGCTTCAAAGTTATAAAAGAAAAAGACAGAAAAACTGGAGCCTGTAATGACAGAACTTTTGAAATCCTAAAATAAAGGAGAGGGGAGTAAGGACTAAATTTGCTTACCTCTAACTTGTTGCTCTAGAGACATGATCACTTCAACAGCCATATTAAGAATACCCAGTTTGGTTTGAGGTTTGTCTGTTTTTAGGTGCGACATACACATCCTTCCTAACTCTTTCAGAGCTTCGTTGATATCTCTAATGCGGATCCTAAAAGACAAGAGAAAACAGACAGGAGACAATTTTGATTAGTAAAAAAGAGATTTTGATTGTAGCGTCATAATGAAGAAACATATGCATTATTTTATCATGAAGAGTCCAATTCAATACTTCACAGATTTTAATGGAGGTTTTCTAAGACTACTTCATTGCATCTCTCATAAAAAATGTATTTTGTCATTTTCTGGTAAAACTACAGCAAAAAACATTACAGCCTATGGTCTAAGCATTGAGTAAAGTAAAGAAGAGTAGTGAGGATGCGTTGACGAAGTAAATTCATCCAATTATGTTTGGTACCGCAACGTTTTCGAGACTTCATTCCAAACCGTAAGTACATGTGTAATAAAAATGTATTTTTCGTGTCTCGTTTCACTTTTTATTCCCCAAATCCAGTTTTTTTCTGGCGGCAATATTTGTGCAATTGGTACTTCAAAACTATATACTAGTTTTTTAAAAGGTGGATTTCAATCATTTTTATGCACTTCACGAGCATAATGTTCTCATTTTCCAGGGTGAAGGGAGACAGGGAGATCTGGAACCCCCCGCCCCCTTAGAGCGCCAATTTTTAAAGTGTCAACAAGTGTTCAGCCTAGGGTGCTAAAAATTTAAATCCGGCCCTGCCTATTGTTTTCTTTGTGCTCAGACAGCACTCAACAGACTTGAGACTGAACTTTTTTCCTGACTGAACTTGATATTTTGGAGGATACAAAAAAAAAAAAAAAAAAAAAAAAAAAAAAAAGAATATTCCTATCACAATTTGCTAAGTGCACTATTGAGTTATTGGTAAGAGCTGAAGATAATGATTATGGTTGAAGAGTGACAATGCTTATGACGATGAGAATTAATTATTTCCTTATCACCCAGGAGTCAATATTCTTAATGAGAGGTCCATTTACTTGTCAAAGCTATTCATGCAGTAAGATTTTACAATTTCATTTATCTGCACCAAGATTTTAGTCTATTAATTGAACATTAGATTAATTGTAAGGGTGAAACACCCAAATAAAAGATAGAGGGATNGGTTCCCATGATTTGTCGAGGGGGTAAATTTGGATTCTCGTTCAGGACCCTCTGAAGATGAATAATTTCACCCTACTTTATATAATTCTAATCGATTTCATGCATTCTAGGCAATCCTGAACACATATCTTGAGGGGCAATCTCAAAGTATGCGAAAACGTCCGATGTCCATTAATTTTCTTCTTCCGCCGTCACGTAACTTTCACTGAAGCCTCGAAGAAAAGAGAAATATTTTTTTTTGTGTTACTGGAGGTCTGACATTATGTTTTACTCTAGTTCAAAGGTTTTTGGAGAGGTCAAAAATAATGGTTTTTGGGCAGATTTTTGCAATGTATGCGAAAACGTCCGATGTCCAAAGCCTTTTTTTTAAAATTACTCAGCACTGATTGGGAGTTGGAATGGGACACAGTTGTGTGCCTTTTCTACAACCCTTTACTAAGAAACACATGCCTTGATTTTCTTCAAAACGCCGATTCTAAAGGCCTCCACAGTTTTTTGCGGTTTACCAAAAGTTGATTTTTTGGACATCGGACGTTTTCGCATACCTCGATTCAAATGCTCTCAGCCTTACTCAACTGCAGGTTCTTAATTCTTAGACACACACTGATTAATAACGTCCGGATGTATAAATTTCCATGCAGCATGCAAATAGAATTATAGGAGGGTAGTGGGTTAAAAAAAAAAAAAAAGAAAACAAAAAAAAAGAAAAAAGTGATGATAAAATCTACATGCACAGAAATCAAAGCTGCCAAATGGTACTTATAAGCTAATAGAGACAACCAAAACGGACCTGTTTTATTAAAATCTTTTCTGCTTTTTTTTTTTTTTTTTTTTTTTTTTTTTTTTTTAAAAAAAAAGAAAAAAAAAGAAGTTTTAAGCTTTCATTGAGTACTAACAAATATTAGAGGTTTGTACAATTTCTTGTTTCTTTAACATTATTATTATGCTCTTGTGTTTATTGTCCAAAACCTGAAATGACATGGACTTCTCCTGGTACTTAAATGAAAAGGAGAGTTGGACTTGAGTTCTTCCTCTTGAAATTTTGACAATAGGAATTTTACACATTTAAAAAAACAAAAAAAATTTAAATAATTAAAAATTTAAGAGGCAGGAATTATAAAAAGAGACAAATTTAAAAAAAAGAGATTCTAAAACGTTGAAATTAAAAATATTAAAACAAAACATGGTAATCTTAAAACATTAAAAGTGCTTTTAAACAGCTTTTTAGGAACTTCTATTAAGGCTCCAATATTAATAGGCACAATTATTGCCTTATCCAACTTCCAGAGGCATTTGTTTCAAGGGTTTAAATTATGTTGATTCTTATTGATAGCCCAAAAATTCTCTCTGTAATTGTTAAAGCTGAAATATACATACTATTATGATTCCTATGGACAAATCTCTACAGCAGGCACAATAGGAGGCTAAAGGTAAGTTGTATAACTGAAATTGAATTCTATGTTAAGCAGAAACAAGACAGCAGGAGCAACACAGCATGCACAGGAAATAGCGCAGAGTGAAAGACAAAATAAAAAACACATGCAAGTAGAGAGACATACAATGAAGGGAAAAAAGAGAACAAATGAAAGTCATAGAGAAAAATGCCCCCCGAGGGATTGAGTTGGAATGCCTCTCACCTCTCCCGAGCATTGTTTGCCTGCCTGCGCTCCTTATCACGTTGCGCTTTCAGTTCAGGGTCCTCGCTTTCCTCGTCCGCACTTTTATAACAGCAACACATTCACATTATCATTAACTGTGAGCTCAAAAGAAGTTTCCAGTATCAACATGCACCTAGCACAGCTATGAAATATTTCTTTCATAGGAGTCTTCAAAGCCAATCAAAGAAGAAAAGAGCGGATCTCAACAGAACTTGGGGCCTACGTTGACTGATATTACTATGGAACTTCTCACATATTCTACCATTAAAAATTATTGATTAAAAAGAATGGCATAAGTAAAAAATTGTACCTAAAATTAGGTCCAGGTATATTGAATTACTTAAGAACTTTTCCAATTTTTCCTAAATAATGGACTCCGAGAAATTTGCCCTTCTCTACCTTTTATTTTTTTTAATACTTCCTTTTTCTACCTCCAGCAAATAACGTTTTGTGAACCTTTCCTGACCACTGGTAAGAATTTCTGAATTCAGTTCTAATCTATGTAGGCTATTAAGATACATGATGGAGAGTTTTAAGACGATCCAGCTTCTTTTTTAAGCCATATACCTGATGATTTAAATCAGTTTTTGAAATGATTATTATTTAATTGCAACATAATGAACCCTCCATTAAAGTTACATAATTCAATCCATTGCATTCCTCAGATAAAATTGTTTCTCAAGCTTGCTGGAGGCAACGGCAGCCTTGATGAATGATATTATGTGCGCATACATGGAAGTTGAGAGAGGAAGTTCTCATAATTTCTGAAGATTTTTGTATCAAAGTTCATCAATTTAAAGTGAACAAAATATTTTTGGAGGCTTACTGAACTCCCAAGAACTGATGAGATCTTTTTCTTTTCAGGGGTCTCAAAGTTCTTAATATTTCCTTCAGATGCTTTTTTTTCATAGAAAATGATAGCGTTTCATAGGGGTAAGATTTTTTCGACAGAATTGGGCATCCAATTAAGACTCATTCAAAGTCATCCTATTTACATATTCTCAAAAAGTATTTAAATATAAATATTATTCTAAATATTTCAAAACTTCAATAGACTAGAAGCTTCAATACTACAACAGACTAAAGGAACTTGTCAGCTGATGACGAAAATCTCTCAATGCAAGATCAAATTTTCTTTATTGCTCCATTTTTTAAGCTATCGGAAAAAAATTTCTAATCAGATTACATTTCATTTTTGGTGTAAGTTACTCTTCACTGGTGGGACTTTGTTTTTTTTGTTTTTTGTTTTTTTTTTTATTATGTCATATTTCAGTCGCAACTTAGGTCCATTCATCCATCACTCCAGATCATTCATTCAGCGTTGCATTGAATTACACACTAATTTTTAATTTTTTCACACTATTAATGATAACAATTGTGAAAGACTTAAAAATTATAACTCAATTACTCTTTTTTTTCTATTCTTGCAAGGTATTGATTACAGCAAAGAATATGCACTCTCCAGTCAAATTGACTTAGGGATGAAGACTAAACACTTCTTTAATTTTGCTTTTGGCTCGGTTTCACAAGGTCAAATTAACCTCAAAATACCCATGAATGCAGAGCAGATAAACTTCCTATTACTTTCATTTTTGATACCGAAAAAAGCGTGCTGGGTATTAAACAGTTGATTTAGTTCAAAAAACAACAGCCTCTCAAAAAGTGGTGTAGAAAAAGACTCATGCAGTGTATCAGTGGCAATTGCGATCTGCTTGTATTTTGCTCTTTGAACAGTTGCAAATACAGGAAGAGAAAAAATGGCAAACTATGAGAAAACTACTGAAGATGTTTTGTTCTTTTCCAATTTAAGCACTGAAATGCATTGAGAAAAAATAAAAACAGACAATAAACTGCCACTGCAAGATATACAAAGTGAATATAAAAATGAAATCCCACACAAAAAATAAAACAACTAAGTAGGTATCTAAAACGCTTGATTTTAATGAGAGGAGAGAAAAATACGGTGTTGAGTCTACGTAAAACATAAATAAGGTTACAATGAAAAAGTGTACCATACCTTTCTCGGACATTGTTAGCTTGACGCCTCTCTTTTTCCCTATGTGCTTTGGTCGATGGATCTTCACCATCTTCATCTGCACTAGAACAACTGAATGGAGAAACATTTGTTATTTTAAAATGATACCGACGAATACAAAAAATTCACAGAGGAGTAGAAGTAAAGTTTCATTCTGAGGCCATAATTTAACCACATTAACAGCATACAAATGGTTGAACTTGGCTTATGCAACTGAATTTATCATATCAACAAAACTTTCTGTGTCAATGAGACACATTTTCTAATTGTATGTTTTGTTCAGCAAAATGAAAATCGAAGTAACCCAGGATATCACTTTCTCATTATCGCTTGCCTGTAAATATGTATCCTTCTGTAAAAATGAGCTTAAAGGCATGATATTTCTTTTGACAGCTCAAGAATGCCAAAGAAGTTGGAGAGTGTTATGTGCAGTGACTAGGGATAAATTGTATAAGATATTTAAGAGATAAAAAGATGGAGGGACCAATGCGTAGCCTTTGGAAATAAACATTACATAGAACAAAAATATCTGATAAAATTAGTCATGGAGCTAATAAAAAAAATTAACTGTTTAATGAGAGAATTACGTATTTTCATTCTGTAAAAATCTTTTGTACCTGTTTGTAACGGAATTTTGCTAAAATTATATGATAAAAAATGCCTTGTAAAAAATAAAAACATCGAACAGTGTCATGCCCCATGGCAAATGGTGAATAACGCAATTGGCAACAAATGCAATTTTCATTGTAATACTTTCGGTCTATTGTGGCATTAGAAAATAAAACAGTAAAAGCAGCTAAAGAGAGCTTCTTTTGGAATAGAAAAGCAATCAAAAAATTGTCAACTGTAATGGCAATTGCTCGCTGAAAATTTGGTTTTAGACCATTTCAGAAACCGTATATTTTTTGCTCTATTCTTATGAAACAATATTTACATACTACTTTCTACAGTGAAACTTCCACCAAACAGATAACTGTAAAGTGTGTACTTCGGGCTTATAATAATAATGGATAGCATACAAAAATAAGGAAAGTTTGTTACATTATGACTTGCAAAGCAGTGGAAGCAGAGGTGTAAATTTCTTATCACCTAAAGAATGAACTGTTTGGTACAAGTTTCACAGCAGAGTTGGAAAAATAAGTGTGAGAAGATACTCACTATCGTCTTGACCTTTTGTTGCCTTTACTGGAAGCTGAATTTGAAGGAGGAGATGTGGTGTTTATAATTAACTGTTCACTACTGCTAGGTTTAGAATCACTATCTGGAGGCTCTTTTCGTTTTTCTGCAAAAAAAAAAAAGAAGGAGAATCCATATTTAGTTTTGTAAGCAACGGGGGGCGGGTGGTATTTTTAGGAAAATGCAAAAGTGATGCATAAAATAAGTGATTACTCTTCTTCTTTAGGTGCATGTAGTTCACTGCAACAATTGTTTTCTATTGACGATTTTGAGTCATTAGCATCACCTTTTTACAACCAATGAGATCAAAGAAGCTGGAAAACACATTACAAATCCTGTTATCAAGTGTTAAACTTTCACCATAATGTGCTCACGGAGCAGTATACTTGTTCTTGAGCGGTCTTGCAATAGCATTGCCTGATATTACAAAAGTGAAATGAATAGAAAAAGCCACACCCCCTTGGCAGAAACGGATTCCGGAAAAAATACGATTGTTATAAGGTGTCCTGAATTGTTATGGCGAACAAAATACGTCTTTTATTAGGAAAAAAAGAAACGGTATAACATATTTTGGAACTGATATTACTCAAAAATTTTGGATCAAAGTTTAAAATTGAAAATAATCTTAATTATTTAAAATTTTTATAATGTAGAGAGCTGCCATTCGAACCTGCCCCATGAGTTCATTTGACCGCCTCTTGTAAGTTTAATAGAATTCATGAGGAATATTTCGACAACTGTCACCTGTTCAACTAATTTCCTCAAATGACCAGGCTTGGCAGGGGGTCCTATTTTTCAGTAGTTTAAGAATCTAGAGGTAGTAATAGTGTGTGGCAATTTAGAGTTTCGATCATAAAGGCAGTAAGTAGTGGTTCTTCTCATCTTAAAAATCTTAATTCATTGATTGTGATGTATGTCATGAGCTCTACATGAATAAGAGCTAAAATATCACAACAGGAAATTAAGTAAGCACTTCAATGCTGAAGACTAAAGATTTTTTAAGCAATCTGCATGAATAATTTTGTCGCACATTAAAAAAATAATTCATTAAAATACTCACTAGAACCGGGAAGTCTTTCTATTTTGATGGGGCCATCTGTGTCAGATGGGCCAATTCCGGAGTAAGCACCTGCAGGTACTCCCACAGCTCCAACAGAGTGTGGACTCGACTAGAAAAGGAAACATGAGACACATGAAATTTTCAAACAGAGTATAAACAACATAGAAGATATTAAAAGGGATGTGTAGTAAGTAGTAAAAAAGTAACGAGTACAAACTTGAGAAACCTCAGAATTAGACTTTGATCTACATATTAAATGAGAGATTGTCCTTGTCACACACCTCCCTTTGGGTTGCTATGCCACAGCAAGCCACATTGTGCTTTGAAAGCTTTAATTTAGCACTACATTACAAAGAATATCAGACTCACAGTTTCGGAAAAACCAACTTAATGGTGTTTTGGACATATCCAATCACAGCACCATATGTGGAAACAATTACCTAGCATTGGTCAAGGACGCATAGTGTTTTAAAAATTTAAATTTAAATTGGAACAAATGGAGCTAACGGGCGTCTTTCCCCTAAAGTCGTCAGGTTGATGACCTAGCGGGAGCGATCATCCATGATTCAGAAAGATATACATAAGACTGATGATGGCCAAAGAGCATGAGACTTATCTCCCAGAGCTCTTTCTGAATTAGAAACAAACGTATCTCTAGTTTCTTTATTTTTAACAGCTGCAGCTGTAATGCAGGCTAGATCCTGTTAGCTGCATTTTCTTTTGCAAAGTTGATTGTTGAGCCTGCTATTTTTAAAACAGGCATAATTATGTACGATTCGACATTGAATGGGTGCAGAGCCCAAGCGCTCTGTTACTTATCATTGTTAACTTTGCAAGATACCGAAATGATTTCACTGGGTGGCAAAGAGGAATTAAAAAATCCAAACAAGTGAAAAAGTAAATACACTTACAATATGTTGATGATGGTAAAGTAAATTTGAGCCTGAATGTTGAACAGCTGCAAGACCCAAGGCTTGAGTTTCTGCGTGGTTCCGTAAAACATTAATTGCATCATCTAACCTTTCTTCCATTCTCCCCTGCAACGAAAAATTTCAAGTAGTTTTTAGTAATTTGCGCAGGAAAAATTAATTAAAATGCAGCAATGGCTCATTTTGCGACCCTGTAGATTTAGCACATTTATGCTCTAGGGAGGTACACTGATACGTATTGATGTTAAAACTCTCAAAATTAATTTTTCTTTCCTTTAAAGAGAGGCAGTAAAGTCCTCAATGAGGGAGAGAATATGAAAAACGAATACATTTTGAGAGCATAGTTTGTTTAATGAACCACCCTGATGATTATGCTTTGTAAGTCAGAAAATCTCAAAATATGGACAAAAATTAAACGAAGAGGTTAACTACAATTGAGAGGTTGGAGCCACTTTTTCTAGTTGATGCTATAGGAACCGTTAATTTTGCTTGAAGTTCCATTTTCTGAATAATCAAACATAAAAAATGTACATATAATGCTACATTACTTGCACACATTTTAAAAGCAAAATAAAGTGAATGAAACCAAAGACCAATTCGCCTGACAAGCTTATTTTCTTAATATTAGTGAAGATTATTAAGACATGCTTCAGGATCAAATTTGAGATCTTCGAAAAAGAGCTCATATAAATAAAAAAAAAACCGCACTTGTAGATGGAGCTGGCAATATAAATTGCCTCATATATACTCGAGGCTGGCGATCAATATATCAGGAACCGTACAGAAGCGCAAAATCAAAATTACTTATTCGTGGAGGAGATCCACTTTTGCTAGGGGGTACTATGTAGTCAATCACCTAACCAATGCGACCATTCTACGGTTGCATTAGATCAAAATCTAATTGTTGACACAAAAATTGTGTATTGGTATTACGGAATAAACAAGCAACCTGTTTGAACATTTTAATCCGGAATGATGCCTGATCTTTGTACTATCATATGAATGAACCAATAAGAAGAATCTCTTGTAGGGCAGGGAATATGAGCTTACTATGGTTTGCAGAGGTACCTACACCATATACCAATATATTTCTTTGTCTCAGTGTAAATTTTATAAATAGCATATAGTGAGTGACAGTAGCTTCACAATTTGGACAATGAGACTGAGAGCGTGAATTTTTGAGCTACTTTTAAATAAATACACACAGCTGCCTTTAGTTGAAGAGGACCCAAACTTTGATATAAAAAATGGGCCTGTTCAAATAATTGATTACACTTTGACACCTCAGGACTTATGTTTAGCTGCAAATATGGTACTAGCCCAAGTTTGCGGGCTGGTTTTACCAACAAAATTTGGATTCTGGAAACATGCATTAATTGACTGTCATTGATTTTAAATTTTCACAGCAAGTGCCTTCACCAATTTCTGTCTAATAAAGCAATTGAGAAATTTGATGAAAAACCAAAACATTAATTTTTAATCTTAAAATGATCTTTAACAACACTGAGTCACACCATGAAATTTGAAGTATGTACAGTAACGAAAATGAATCAAGAACCTAGAAAATATTACTCCACATTGGGGAGCCCACCAAATTTTGGCGCGTAAAAAAACTGAGAACAGGAAAAAGTTTAAGGCGATAAGTCTGTCTGAAAAGGTGTAAAATACAAGTTCAGTTGGCAATGTATACAGCTCGAAGAAGTTATTAGGATTTTGCTAAGATTTTTTTAAATTTTTAACAGAACGGTATAGATTTTCTTTTGTTATTAAACACGAGGATACTCACATCACCAGCTCGTTCACGAAGGAATCCAATTGCCTCATCTAACCTTTGTTGTTCAGATGCCGCCTGCATGCGTTACACACAACGACAAAAAACAACAACGAAAACAAACAGAAAACAAAATTGTGTCAGAAATGAAAATAAAACGACAAAAGCTAAAATAAATGAGTGAATGAAATCAAAACAAAAAAAATTAATAAATAAATAAAAATTTCAGGTGAGCTTAGTAACTTTAGGAATGAGAAAGCAAGGACTAGGGCAAACAAAATTGTGATGACATTGAAAAAAGTGCCATTCCAAAACCCAAACTGTGATTCATCTTGCTTAAAAGTCAAACTAGAATTCAATATCTCTTGTTCAATCTAGTTTCATTTTTTATCTAATGATATTCAAAGTGAACTAATTAGGGTCAATCGTTTCCTATGCAGTGCGGCCACAGTTCCAAAGCATCCTTCTCTTTTTTCAAGTAGGACTTTATAGATAGCAATGATCATATATTCGAATCTAAACTTCGTGTGATAACGTTAGATGAGATATTGTTCAAAAATAATTATTAATGGACCACTAGACAAGGTGCGAATTCAAGCATTCAAGAAATCTAAAACGCTCCAGTATTAGTGCCTGAGTCTCTTCAAAGTTGAGAGACAGAGGATTGGTAACAGTGCATCAATAGTAAACTGAATGGTATCCCTATATTCCTGATGAAAATATAGCGCAGCTGTGCAAACAAAAAAGAATCGACATCATTTATGAATTTACTTTAATGTAGATCACTCTCCCTCCACAAATAGGAATGCGCTGGTGTAGAAATAATGAACTTTACGGAAATATCTGACCCCTCTGCCATGGAATTGGAAACAGAAACATGTAACCTGTCGTAGATCTATATTACTTATTCTACCTTTTTCTTACTTACTTAAAATACTAATCCAATCAATTAATTAAAGAGCCTATGAATTGCCCCCCCCCCCCAAGGTAACTTTTCATCAATCACTCTTCTTTTTTTCTAATTTAAACATGCAGATCAATAAAGAAACTAGTGGTGCTTCGTACTTGTAAAAATAATATCTTCCCTCTTCCTCACATAAAGGTTGAGTCAATACTGGTCCTATTATATTAATCAAAGGTATACTAGTTTCAAATTAAAGCAAAAAAAAAAATCTATACATATAGGGCAAATCAATATTATGAAAATTTATGTACTGGAAACCAGAGAAGATGTTTTTAAAATCAGTGTGTGAAAGATTCACAAACAGAAGAAGAAACCGGGAGGGGAATGAAGCATTGCTTTTCTATCAATCTATGAAATCGGATATGAAAAATACCAATTTTAAATACATACTTCATAGAATGACTAAGCCCTAGATTCTGATCAGCAAAGAAGCGTGTTTTACCTTAACCAATTAGATACTTATGTCACTGGACCGTAAAACATAGGAGTACGCTATGGTGGGAAAAAGAGTGGAGATAATGAGAAATATTTGCTCACAGGGTGTGCAATCTCACAGGAAAGTGTAGCGAAAAACTTGATTGGTAATAGATACGAAGTAGAAGTTTGCGGATTAACATATTTAGATTGAAGATGGATGCCTTGAGGCTAATTAAGCAAAACCACACTTTGAATTTTGATAATGAAACACAAAAAGAAAATAATAATAATTTTTTAAAAGAAAGAAAAATAAATAAGGAAAAATCACAGTGAATGACTTGCAGAAAATCATACCACCAATGGTTGACATTATTTAAAAATGATATAGAAGTGCGATAAATGTTACTTCGGTGATTAAAACAAAAAAAAAACAATATGCACAGTTAACAGCAAGATTAGTAACACATTTAGCAGGGCCACCTGATGAACTGGTGTTGTGATGGATGAGCAATGAGAAATTAAACTAGGTATATGACTAAAACTCACCAAGTGAATTGTGCGGTGGTCAGGAGGGAAATGCGGGGATGCAGGGTGAGCTTGAGTAGCACCGGGAGCCCAGGGACCTCCGTTGTTTCCGCCTGGTGCACCTGCCAATGGAGGTGGCGAGCTCACAGGCGTAGAGGGGTTAGAGCTATAGCTGCTCACGCTCTGATCTGTTGGGTATATCTGGAAAAAAAGAAAAAAGAAAATTACAATTTATTTATTTTTTGAAGTATGATTTATCAGCATAATTGAGAATTTGCAGGTGTCTTAAATTTTGATAATTTCATCTTTAAAATGATACTCCTAGGAAAACTGCGCATGAGGATATCCTTCGTTTCTAAATAGAACAATTATTGGAGAAAATATGAAAAAATAACCTGATCTACTAAAATACATGTGTTTAAATAGAAAATGCTGCCGGATGACGCAACAAGGCAGCAAATTTTCTCCATTTCAAATCAATTTTTCTCCGATTTCCCATGTCAGAAAAAAATCATGAAAAATAGTGCAAACTCAGCTAATTGAGCACTCTCAGATAAATCAAAATGTTTGTGTGCAAATTCTCCATTAAGTTGTCAAGATATTCGTGCTGAATGAGCTGATTTTGCAGAAACTTAAGAATTTTCTTCTAATGTAGGAAATAGTAAAAAAAAAAAAAAAAAAAAAAAAAAAAAAAACAACAACAACAACAACTTACAAAAGTGAAATTACACCGCCTTGTGACGTTATCAGGCAGCATATTCCATTTAAACACATGCACTCTGGAGGATTAGATCATTTTGTCATATCTCGTCTAGTAATTTTTCAATTTAGAGACTAAGGATATTCTTGTGCCCATTTTACTCAGTAGCTTCAACTTAAACGAAAATCAACATTCAGACAGGTGCAAATCCTTTTTTAGTGCATTTCAACGGGACAATTGTCAGACTCAAAAGAAATTGGCACAGAAAATTTATATTAATCATTTAATACTGAGAAGGAAAAAGTTGGAAAAACAATTCCAAGTTTACATGAAGCTTTGAGAAGAATGTATCCTCGAAGTACAGGAGAAATAAAATAGCCGTGGTAACCCCAGCTGCTACCGTCATTTTAGAGAGTGACTGAAGCGTTTGAAAAATATGCGTTCTACACTAATTAGATAAAAAGGAGGGATGGGTAAAAATAAATGGGCAAATTACAAAAAATGACAGAGCCTACATAAAATTTAGAGGTAATTATTTTATTTTGGATACAACTGAGGATCAAGCGTAGAGGACTTTTGGCTTCCAAATGGTCTTTTCCTCAGCTACTTGAAAAGTATCGTTCAAAAAATGAGTGATTTTGATCTGAAAAAAGGTTGACTTAATATCCAAGACAATTTCATGGCGAAAGCATTATGAGACGACATTTAAACTGAATTTTCTGATTTGAAGAGGACAAAAAGACACAGTGTAAAAAAAGAGGACTCACTGAGGCTAGAGCTTTGCCTAATGTATCACCAGTCTGTATGGCAGAAGCAGGACTGTGGTGGGTGGGGTAGAGAATGGCAGGACTTGGGGTGGACGGAGGGGCTCCAGATCGAAGACTTGACATTGGAGGTAGACTGACGCCCGTCAGGGCTGGTTCGCTAGGTTGGGCTGCACCTGCTCCGCTCGGCGAAATCCCTCCATAGCCCTGAAAATTTTGAGAAATTCAAAATGAGACTCAACTGAGTAAAATAAAAAATGCTTTTCCTGCGAACAAATAAAATCATTCCAGAATAGTAAGTTCAATTCAGGTTAGGCGTGGTGCATAGAATTCTTGACCATGCTCATTCCCTGATTTTCCTTGATTGTTACGAGCTCATTCCCTGATTTTCCCTGATTGTTAGGAGCTCATTCCCTTATTTTCCCTGATTGTTAGGAGCTCATCTCCTGATTTTCCCTGATTTTTAGGAGCTCATTCCCTGATGACAAACCGAAGTTATCTTCCACTTCTCGGGATTTTCTTGGGAGAAACCATAGAAATCCCCTGAGTTCCAGAAATGCATATCGAATTTTTTCAGCCGATTCTTTGGCGCAAAGCCAAATTTTCGATTCCAAAAGCGTTCTTGATGTTCAAATTATCTCATTAATGAAAGCTTCTCTACTATTATGATGATGATTTGAAGATTTAAATATGCATGTGATTCACGAGGTCAAACATGACGGCTCGGGTGCATTAACATTAACCTTAATAGCAATAGGTGCTTAAAATTTCCGCAAAATTTGAAGTCGAAATGGCTCGAAGCGGTAGAAGAAAAGATTCTTGGATTCTGGAACAGATTCCCTAATTTTTCCCTCATTTTCCCTAAACTTTTTTATTCTCAGATGAATCCCGGTTTTCCCGGTTCTAAACACCGTAATGTAGTTAAGATCATCCTTGAATGGCAGACAAAATTTTACAGTCTTTAAAAGGGGTAATAGATTATGTAAATACCGAACCGTCATAAGCTATACAATGCATTGTACTTTATAAGCTAGATGAAAATATTTATATTACATAGAGTGAAAGGGTCACCAATACCAATTATATGCATCTTAAAATCCAACACTCAGTAGGACATTGAGTAACATTAATTTGATTTTGCACTCACGTTCAAAATAAAATTAGGTCAGTATTATAAATTGTTATCTGAATTGTTTTGGGAACACATAAAAACCGCCGATTGTTTATAAAATTAAAAATTGAACAATACAATTGCTTAAAATTTTGCAAATGATTATAAAGACGGTAGGACATATTATCAGTGTTATGCAGTCATTATATTGTCTTCACAAGGCCAATTTTCGATTCAAATTTTGTTTCATGAGATAAAGAACAGAGGAAAAGTGAGAGACAGAATAATTCCGTATTTTTTCTGGTGAGGACATACAGAAATACCTAGGATGGAACTCTCCTTAAATTTATTTAAAAACATGAAGACAATAAAAATTCTTAGAAACGATTCGATCTACAAACCACTCAACCAGAATATTTGGGGCGAGGACTTCCACAGGAATGCAGAGAATTAAAGAATATTTCTCGGATTACCGTGAAACGAAGATAACAATGCATTCATAAGGTGAGAAAGAGTGAGGAGGGATGATAAAGCAATGAAATCCAGAGCAAGTCATAGCTTGATTAACATAATCATTGGTTGGGCCAATAGCGACATCACGAATCACGTACGAATGACTTAAAGTTTTGGAACCTTAAAGCACGAGAATTTTTTTCTTTCTTTCTTTCATTTTTCTTTGGCATAATACAAAGATTGGATAAGACTCAACATTTCATTTCCAGCACGCTGACTTCTTGTGATGCTCGAATTCGTGCGAGTAATCTACTACGCCAGAACCATTTTGTTGAATTAAACTATTTAAAGTTTAGCCACCCTTGCTCCCTCCCCCAAGTTCTTTATGAGACTCGCTTTTTTTCTCGCCGACTCCGAATTTTTAATTTATGCTGAATCTCCTTTTCGAAAAAAGTAATTGTTCCGATGCAAAACGCTACGTAAAGTGGGTGTTCCACGGAGGAACGGGGTAAAAGTTTTTCAGGACGTGAACAAAGATGCTGCAGAGGGTTCGCAATATTGCCACCTACTCACAAATACCGAGGAAAGATAATTAGAGAAGAACACATGCTGAGGTAAGGAGCAGCAGAAGTTAACGGTAGGACTGCCATGTTAAGGAAAAACGCCGCATGAACCTTCAGGCGTTTCCAAATTTCGATTGATGAAACACGAATTTCCTGGTAAACTTATGAATATTTTTATTCCAATTTTTCAGATAATTTTGCTCGCAATTTCACCTAAAGCTCCTGAAAATTTCGAGGAAAAATGTTCCCAACTTTCCTCAAAAATAAATATTGTATCGCATACAATTTGGCAACTCTCGAATGTTCATACGACGTTCTTGCTTAGCACGGCAGAGGACTCCTCCCAACGTTCGAAGTGCCTAATTGCCTCCTACCCTATAAAATCTGCACGAGAGAGAGTAAGACTGTTTTTCAAGAAGGCGACCGGAGAAATTCTAAAGCAGTTTCAACATACAATATCAAAATTATATTTGTGAGTAAATTTCCAATTCCTAGGCTTACAATTTTCGTTTTCAAAAGAAGATACTAAATTGAGCACAAATCGAGGATATTCCTCCAATTAAACGGGTCTTCGACGGTTTTTACGCATTTGGAAATCAGCACCTTCCGGCTAAAGTATCACAAGCGCCACGCGACGTTTAAAAATTTCCGCCGCCATTTTATTTTTTTACTGAGAAATCGTTTGTGGAATCGGTTTTAACATTTCATTGAATTTTATCGGCAGCACGAAGAAAATTCACTGAGATTTTTGGACAGCTTCGTTGAAGACTTTTTCGGTAAAAAAAAAAAAAAAAAAAAAAAAAAAAAAAAAAAAAAAAAAATGGCGGCGGACATTTTTAAACGTCGCATGGCGCTTGAGAAATTTTGGCCGGAAAGTGACGACATGGGGATCCGCCATATCTGGAAACAATGCTTCCGAGGCGAACCGCTCTTCCTCGGGAGGAGCTAGACAGATATACAGTGGAAACACATTCAAATTTTAACGACTGAAGTTAGCACATAAAAAGTTGTAACACCATAAATTCCCCGGTCGAGCCGGGCTAATGTGAAATTTTAATGAATCAAAACCGAGCAATTATAAGCTCCGTGTACCTAATCCATAAAATACATTCAAACTAAGATTCACTTGGAAGAGTCTCTCTTAACCGGGCTTCAACTTTTCTAACAGCGGCAGCCCGCTGCTAAATATTCCCTCTTTCCGCACCGGAGACACCGAGTTAGATTGTTTTCCTTCTTACACTCGACAACGAGGCATTTTTTTTTTTTTTTTTTTTTTTTTTTTTTTTTTTTTTTTTAAATTCACCGGAATCTTCAACACCTCCCTTTTGCCGACCATTTAAGAATCCTCTCTCTCTTTAAACCAACCTCTGACGAACGGTAGCACAAGGAGGAGTAAACTTCTGTATTTATTAGAATGGGGACAATTTACAATGGAAACTGCTAACCTGCTGAACTTCTTGTTTCAGGAGTATTCATTATTTTCGGGAAGATGGGCATAGAATCGTGGATTTTCGAGCTATACAAAAGCAAGAAGAGGAGAAAAAAACGAGGATGAAAAGAGGGGAGGGAAACAGGGGTGGATCCAGCAATTTGGCAACACGGCATTTCCTCCATTTAAACCAATGTTAAAAAATCGATTCTTGTCGGAGCACCTGGCCCCTTCAAGAATCGATACGATTCCACAGGTTTAAATGGAGAAGAAACAATGTTGCCAATTTGCTGGATCCGCCGATGTAGGGAAAAGACGGCGTTAAAGTACGAGTGTTATGATTAGAATTACCATATTGTCGTGTGGTAAGTGTTGGTGTAGGCCCTGCGGTGGATAACTCGGTTGTGATAGGTGCGTTAGGCCCCCGGAGGGGGACGAGTAATTAGAATAAGGTGGACCCGGCTGAATCTGCCCCCCGCCGGTCCAAGGGTCCCCCGAACCGGCTGAAGCGCCATCTGAAAAATACCAAGAGAAAAATCAAAATCTGATATGATAGCAAAATAGATTTATTTTCCAATATAAATGACTATATTATTTCCATGCTGACTATTCGGCCCTTATACAAAAGTGCAAGATTAAATTGATAGCATTTGACAAAAGGAAACTAACGCAATTACAGTGTTGTAAAAAGGTTGCTTCTCCATGATCATCTACGATTTTTCCGAAAACAGCAAAAATTGGCAAGTTTAAATGAAAATATTGCGTAAACTCTAATACTGGACAAATTTATGTTGAGTATTTTTAAAAGAAAAGAAGATGCACAATTTTGAAAACGCTGTAATTTCGCTGGTTCCTTTTTGCTAAATGCGATCCAAATTAGGCTTAAGATCGAAGATAAAAATAAAATACTTCAAGGCGGGTAAAATTCTGTAAAATGAGGGTTCCATATGATGTAGATGTCATAGTCAAGAAAATATTCAAATTAGACATTCTTGGTCTCGCTGTTTCATTCTCTCAGTTCAGCCATTAAATTTGCTTAATTTCACGCATGACCTCTAATTCTGCGGTAATCCGATTTTTTTAAATTATGCTAGCCAATTAATCAATTAATTAATTATCCTGATGGAGAGTACTGATCTTACTTACCTAAATAATAAGGATCGGCGTTATACAGACTAGCTGCGCCGCCAGGTGTGGACTTTGGACCAGTAAACCTAGGTGAGTCTTGGCCGAATTCATCTGAACCGTATTGCTGAAACAAAAAAATGGAAAAAATCCTTAGTGAACTAAGTCAAACGATGACACATTTTTAGATTACATATAATACGTGCAATGTAACATCTCCTGATGATGGTGCATACAAGGTCTCGATTCAAACTTCAACTAAATTTTCTTGGTAAATATCATGTACATTTTTTTTTTTAAAAAATTGAAAAAAAAACCCGCAAAAAAATGAGTTGGCACGCTGGCAGTAGATTGAAACACCGAGTGATATAAAATATTAACCTTCATCATGATTCTAAAATTAGACCTCCATCGAAGTGCGTCCTGCAATGTTGCCTAAGCCTATAGGCCAGAAACTTTGAAAGACTCGGTGAGCGGATTTCTGACGTTCGTTCAAAACGATTGTTTACCGATGGCGTTAATGATCGATGATCGATATTTCCCCATTTGAAGCTATGGCAAAGAATTGATTATTAAGGGGTTTGTTGGGAGGTCGACGAAAGCCGGATCTAAGAACACTTCGGAAAAGTTTCAGTGGCAAGGCGTGAATGATCGATTACCGATATTTCCCCGTTTGAAGCAAAGGTAAAGAATCGATTATTAAGGTGCTCGTTGCTGAACCCTTCCGAACAAAGGTCGACAAAAGCCGGATCTAAGAACATTTCTGCAAAAATGCTGGGAATAATAGGTGATTTTTGACGCAGTATTTCACTCATACAATTTTATGCAGTTTTTTTACAATTTTTAATTTTAATTTCTTACAACTTCGTTCAGTTCTCTACTGAGCTTTAACGATCGGTGACGTTGATTTGTGTTGAATGCATTGGTGACAGCAGCAGCTGCTGTCACCATCACAAAAATCACGATTTATTGAAACACTGACAAATTGATAAACGATTGATATATCATGAAGTTTAAAACTTCGAAACAACTCAAGACAAAATTACTACAAAGAGATCTCTCGCATGTACTAACCAAATAAAGCTGAAATTGTTGCTTGACACACAACTGTTAATATTTTAGCTTTTTATTTTGATAGTAAATCCCGCATTGATGTGATTAAGTGTTATCTTGCGCTGTCGTAAACTTAAACATGGTTTTTTCCCTTCTTACTGATCTCATTAATGAATTAATTCGTCCAGAGGTAACTCAGTATGCTTTGAAATCAGCAAATTTCGATTTTATGAATGTAACTCCTGTGAGTAATAATTTGGAGCTATTTTAAATAGCTATACTAATCAGTGGGTCAAAGAATCATAAATAAGGGGGGAGACAGACATTGAGTGCAATACTTTATGTGACAGATATGTGTTATTCTATGACGGATAGAACCAGATACAGAGGGAAGTACCCAGGAAACTAAAAACTATGCGATGTTGTAAAGTTTTTACAAGTGGTGATAAATTAAAAGAGGCTTGTTCTTGTTTTTAAAAGGGGTTGATACGAAGACATTCCTCGTTACACGGAACTCGCGCGAGTTTTAAACAATATCGGAACGGAAAAATGGAGAATTGGCAACGCTGAATTTCTCGTTACAGCTCGAGCTATGATCCCGGTCGACTTCCGCGGTGTGTAATTCGTGTTAACGTAAAAATATAATCTTTCTACGTTACTCATCTTTCTACATCTTTCATTTCGCTTCGCTCGGACGTTTTGAAAAGCTAACAGAGAAAAGGGAGCGTATTTTTATCGACGCGGAGAGTCGTATTCATCAGTGGCGTGGCGTGAATTGCGATGTATCGATTGTTATGCCATTTGAAGCTATGGTAAAGAATCGATTATTAAGGTGTTCGCCGCGAACACCCTGTTTATCGATCCTTTTCCATAGGTTTAAACGGCATAAAAATCGTTAAATCGCAAAACACGCCACGCCACTGGTATTCATTAGGGCAAGGAAAAAAATAAGCTTCGTGATGCTTCGAAAATAAAAGACTCCCTTAGAAGGACTCGAGCGGAGAAAATAAGTCTGTTCCTGGACAGAACCGCACATTAAACTTCGTTGCCGACCAAAACTCTTCAAATATCTTTCCACACTCAAATACGTCTGATTGGTTCGGTTATTTCTCCACTGACTAAATTAACGTCGCGGAGATACAACTAAATCAAAATTAGAGTAAGGATGCTTGCTGCACGATGCTTTCCCTGACGACACAGTAAAGCGACATTTTTGGCAGTAGAGACCTGCAGCCAGCCTTTCATTACAAATTCCACACTGAGAGATTAGACTACGCGATACAACTATTTTAACTCCTGGGTAGCTCGGATTGCATACCTAATGAGTTGAAGGCGAACTGAGTTTCTTTCTTGAATCTACGTTCCTTTGGACTAAACAGCGGCGTACTTCGTAGGTCCGTAAGAACCGTAGGATGGGGCTTCAAACTTATTTTCCCCCGTTCACATTCGTATCACTTATGTCTTGTTTAATCATCTGTGCTCATTTTTTATCTCCTTGAAAAATATGGAATGAATTACCCGCATCCGACGAGTCGGCAATCCGCTCTTTCCTCTTTCCATTCGAATGCCGCTGACAGATCAAACTCCGTGATGCAACTATATCAACTCCTGGGTGGCTAAAATTGCATACCTACAGGTTTGAAGGCGAACTGAGTTTCCTCCTTTAATTTACAGGCATTTGCACACTTCCTCAAACAACTTGCAGTAATGTGTGCCTGTGCCTGAAGGGAGCCCAGCAGATTGCTACCATTATTTTTTGTGAGCCGTACGAATAAAACTACTGCGGCTCCTGATGAGCCAATTTTGCAAGAAACTGCATACTTACGTAAGATAGAGTACCTATATGGGGTAGTGCGGACACGTCGGTAATTTTGAGGTTCAGTCATGGAGCTTTTAAGACCCAAAAATGCAGCCAACCTTGGAATTCAAATTACCCAGAGTGATATATTGCTACAATTGTTATGACCCGTCATTTGTTAAGCACGTATTCGACTTCGTTTTTTGCAAAAATTCGTTCAATTTTGTGGAAGAACTCTCATTTATGATCATTCTTGGCCAACTTGGTTGGACATTGAAATTTGAACATTGACAATGACATTTTTTGTGTGCTAGAGAGTTGGCTGCCCTTTTGGGCTATAAGAGCTTCAAAATCAAATCGTCACTCAATTTCCACGTGAGCCTTGTGATCCGCGTAACTCTATACTTTCTAGGGCTCTTGTAGATATTATGTTGCGTCCTTACGTCAGAGGGGCGACAATATGTACTCTAACTCAGGAGTAACATCGCCAGAGTAATGGAGTTAATTAAACCGGAGGCGTAAGTTTCTTCTCTTGGAACCTGGTCAGTCAAACCACCATAGGGACGGGGAAAAGCTCCAGACCCTCCGGACACCCCCCCCCCCCCCCNCCGGTGTGTATGGGTCACGGCAGCGTTTCAGTGGTGGATCACGATTTGGGACGCGATGGAGCGTAGAACGGCGGCGCATGGCACGGGGCCATTTGTCCATTCGTCCATTTGTCCGTTGGTTGGTTGCCTGTCGACGCCGATCAGCGATAAAGCGCCGACGCGACGGAGCGTGGCCGCGTGGCCGCTGGCCGAGCCGCGGTCGTGGCCGGTCGGGTCGCGCGCCGTATAAATCCCTCGACATGGACGGGACGTGTCACGCACTCGACGCCGCTCGACGGTCACCCATCGCTCGTCAAAGGGCTGATTATTGAATCTGCTAGACGAAGCGATCGACAAAGAGGACAAAGGGAAAATTGAACCAAACCACATCAGCAATTGCTAAATTTAATCAGGCATTTTAATTTTTTAAATGAAAACTGTTGTGAGGATTTTCGTGCAAATTTCAGTGAATTTTCTCCATAGTTCGAAGCAAATTCCTTAAAATTTTCAAAAGAATCCGCACAAACGTTCTCTCGAAAAAAATTAAATTGCCCAGTTAAATTTGGCGATAGCTGATGTGGCTCGGCTCCTTGGAATCATGTGGAAGTAACACTAATTCAGGAAATGGGGCAAGTTTTCTATATCAACATTTCTGTCTGCTTTTCATTAAAATACTTCCCACAAAAAATTTTCATTGGCGATAAGAGGAATGTTGAAGTGAGGAATTTTGGCGCCCCACGCGAGTGTGCAATAGGCCCTTTGGAAAGAGCCTTTCTCCGGCTGACGTTTTGAAAAGGCTTATTGTAGTCATAGGCTCATAGGTGCGGTGAATCCTTGTTTCTTCAAGACACAGCGCGAGAGACTACAGTGGTCCACGCAATGCAGTGTCGTTTTGTCGTGTGCAGTGTAGTACACGGTTCATAATGACCTCCTCTCAGGGGGATAAAGTTAAAAGACGCTAAACCAGACTGCGCAATAAAAAGTGACTGATGCCGCCTTGGCAAAAAATTCAGTCTGTTAGTAAAAGCCATAAAGCTAATGGCAGCCCTACGGACGGAAATCATTGACCCATCGAATGAAGCGGCTACGGGAACGAAGCGCATGCAAAAAAGAGGGGGCAGAAAGGGGGACACCCAATGTGCAATTAACGATTGGGACAGCGCCTCGGCGAGGTCTCTCGATGTATCGAACATCTTCGAGAAGTTTCGTCCGTAAGTTTTTCGCGGATACAATCGACTTCAGGATCGAGGATCGAAGCGGCGACAAAACCGAGGGGTCTGGTGGAAGGCGCGAAGAAGGAGCTCTATTTTTTTGCCCTCCTTCAATAGAGAGATATGCGGGTGACACTTCTGTCGACATGCCGTCGTTTCGCTACATTACAATGACCTCATAGGCTCAAGGTCCCCCAACCTCTTGCCGGGAGACGGCGGCGCCGGCGTAAGAGGTCCTTAGCATCTTGGATTTTCAACCATGTGGGTACTCTCAATGACTGCTTCACTCTCACTCGGTGGCGAGGCGTGAATGCTCGAGTATCGATTTTCCCCGTTTGAGGCTATGGTGAAGAATCGATTATTGAGGTGTTCGTTGCGATCACCCTGTCTATCGAGCCTTTTCATGAGTTTAAATGGCAGAATAATCGATACATCGCAAAGCACGCCACGCCACTACCTCACTGTCGAGTCTTCACCG